GCAAGATGAGATAAGGTAGGCTGAGCACAGGAGTAGAATACAAATTTGCAACACACTAGGATTTCCCCAAAGGCAAGAAGAAAAATCAGACATGGGCAAAACATGCATTGTCGACGCGGAGAAGAGTAAAATCAGCAGTTAACGTATTACATTGTCTCGCTCGTCTTTTGAGCGTCGTACCCAGCACTCCTCTTGGTCAGCCTCCCACATCACCCATCATCACGTAGTCGGTGCTGTAGAGAAACACCCACGGACTAGCCGGGTGGATCAGTCATCGAATCAGCGGACAGCTGAGATGATACTTCACTACAACCTCACTGATACCGCCTTGACAACTCCACTCGATCGAACGATTCGTCTTGTAAGGGAATTGCATTGGCGCACGGGAGAATGCGCTACCCGTAACTCGTGTCCATCGCTAGTCGTGGAAGCATTGGCCGAAACGCAGAGCCATATAGCAAAGGATGGGATCTAACAATAGTTGTGTGGGAGTAGGGTTTCGCGTCGATTCCTCCTTGCCATTTGGTTCTCACTTCACTGCTGTCCACTTATATCTACCTGTCCGTCTGTCTGTCTATCTATCTGTCTATCTGTCTGTCTGTCTATCTGTCCGTCCTGAATCTATTCAGCTAGTAGAGAAGTTGGGGAGGTGCCACATGTTCGCACAATTGGTGCCATCATACAGGAATAGTAGACTGCTCCGTAGCGAACATTTCCACATCGTTTACATTTAGTGTCACTTCATTTGTAGTAGCATGGCCTGGATACCTACTCACTGGGGTGGTTGGCAAAAGTTGACGCCATTTTCGGACCTTCTACTAGGAGTGAGCGCATATTATCCCATCCGCAGCATATGCCCATGCTCCGCCTCGTCAAGGTTCATTACCCACCAGTAGAAATGTGGACAGGTGTCCTCAAGGATCGGTGTGCTTGGCGCTGCCACCATGGTAGAGCCCTGAGACTTGCCTAAAGACGAAACCAGACACCATCCTTGAAAATGCATTATCGACGTGGAGAAAGAATGGATGGCTCCTGGCATGGCCTGGAGTCCAAGCCACCCAGCAAAAGTACAGGGTTGGAGCAATTAAGTGGTCCCCTCACCAAAATCGGGAATTAAACAACCAATGTGTCACAAAGCATACTTCTGAAATTAATTTCGATTAGCATCTTTATAAATGTATTTACCTGTGTAAGATCTTAGTATCGTTCTGTAAAATTACCGGTATTATGGCCTTTTAATTCTGTTTTTAAAACACTAAACAGTCCAAATAATGCCTGTTGCAGCTTTTAGGGGCGACTCAGGACACAACATCTGTAACAGCGGTAGGCGGACTCGATCCATAAGGGCAACAACCCCGATGTCTCTGGCTAACTATCAAATTACGATGTCACAGAAGGGAGGTGTTTGTTGTAGAGAGGGCTTATCAAAGCAGTTAATCCAATCTCATCTATACCAAGGAGGCAATTAACAATCAAAGCAACATTAGACATGAATAATTTGAAAACGCTCACTTCGGAGCGACCTATGCTTCACACACAACGAGGTGTTAATTACGCGAAAAACGAGACGTCTTGTTCACGTCTCTTCTGATCGAAATGAAATGCGGAATTTTAGCTAGGCAGAGCTACTTCAAACTTCACTCGATACTAAATACCTCCTGTAGGTCAATATGCATTCTACAAACGGTGGACAGGCGACACGCGCACGGTTTGGGGCATCATTTGTCCCTGCAAGGACTGCAATGAACCAGTAGTGTCGTTCCTGGCTCATGGGTGGTTTTCAAAACACCAGATTTATTTTGGTGGTCGAAGCTGGAGGTTAGCAGGGCAGGCTAAAGGAGATGGAGGTGATGATTCCGTAGTCTTTATCCGGTGACCCTGTCTTAAGTCTCCTAGCTCTTAAGTGAGGTAACAATGAATGCTCACTTATACTGTCATAGCACATTACAATGTGAGGCGCCAATCGGGGAGTGGACATAAAATAAAATCCTTTCTTCGATTAAAATGAAATTTAACTTTTATTTTCATTACTTTTGGGCAGTTAGATCTTAAATGAAATGAGTTTTTCTGAGCTTAAACGATTCTGCCTCTTTCATGGCGAAACAGTGGTGATAGTTATTGAACGGCTTGATGCGGCATAGCCCATTTGGCATGCTGACCGGCATAGCTGTGGGACAGGAGGCTTCCGTTGTGATTTGAGAAACCACCACTCGCTGGACAGCAAGCACTTTACTCTGAGCGCCAAGTGGGTTCGCGTCAATCCGTGGGCGTTTATGACTCAAATCTCCAGTCGCTTGGGTTCCTCCAAGACTCGACGAAACAGATTTGATAAAATCTACTTAGAGAGTCTTAAAAACACGCATTTCTGCCTCGTAAACAAATGCGATTTAGTGCTTGCATTTGAGAGAAGCGATCAATTAAGATTAAATGCTTGTTTACTGGTAAACAACACTTGCCAGAATCCAGTACACAAATAAAACAATCACACTTGTTGTTGGCTACCCAAAATTGAAGACGTATACGTAAATAAACCCTGGGGATAACATTTAAATAAATGTGGTGAATGAAAGGCGTTCCTTTGTCGTGATTTACACAGTGGATAACAGGAAAGTGAAGAAATGTATACTAACTTCCAGAATATATGCAATACGTCAATCGTTTGTTTAACTCTTAGCTGTGTTGACGGATCACTAAAAGGGTCCGCTACTTTCCCTTGAA